CCTTGTTGATGAATATTCCGTATCAACTTCGCAAATAATACATGATGGTTTGAAGTATAGATTCTAGGTACTGAGGTTGTTTAACATCTTAAATGCGTGTTATAGTGTTCTTTTATTTGTCTTCGTAAATTTTTAACCTTTAATTTTTAGTCCATTTTTTGTAATATCCTTTTGGCGTGGCTTGGTACTTATACATCCCGCCATTGTGTTATTGAGCTATGATCATTTTTTGTATTCTTGTCATTAATTTTAGCTAGCTATAAAACCAGGTTTAATTCACCATTTTCTTCATAAGGAAATGCCTGTACCAAGTCAGGAATACGACAGTTGTTTTCCATTCATTTGATGTGTTTGAGCTTTTGATATTGCATTTGATAAGGGACTTTCCGTTTGAATTTTACTTGTACTTCGGTACTTTTGTTATTTTACTTTTTGATAGCCTCCGTTGATAAATTTTTTTCACAACTTTTCTTGACTCGTCGGCGATTTAAAACTGGACATATTGTATAGACACTTGTCTATTGTTTCTGACTGTAGGTTGACCTCTTGATGTCTCAGTCTGGTTTTGTTTGCGTTGTTGAGGGTACTGTCTCATTTACTTTTCCTTTTATTAATAACTGAATAAATATTAGATCGTGGAACCAAATATTTATATTTCCAAAGTATTGTGTATAAATACTTTCAATAAATTGAGAGAAAATCAATTCAAGATATCGGCATTGAAATCAATAAAGATATTTACATTTCGTATTTTGTATTTTGTAACATGCTGTTTAGATGAAATAAAGTTAGTTATTTGTCAGTTGGGTTGAGAACAGATACATCTTGTGATCCGTTTATTTGGCTATCGCCAATGGCAGTCAGCAGAGTTTAAGAACATCAGTTGTTCGACCTGCTAGTCAAATGTGTTTTGTTAAAATATACCTTTTCACTCATTTGGTCTTTTGGAAAATGTTGTTTGTGCTGCATTTAGACCCCTCTACCAAGAAATTTGTTTTGCATGCACACGTATAAAAATTGCGGTTTTTATCCAACGCAATCATAGGTTTGAACGTTGTTTTCAATTTAGACTTGTTTATATTTTTTCGTTTGGGCTTGTATTATATTTGCCTTCGGGTTTATATGATCCGTTCATCCTATTTTGACTCTTTCAAAATTCAAGAGTCTATCCTAAATTGAGGTAAATTATAAGGCCTTCCAAATACCGTTTCGATTCCTAACATCACTGAAGAGACATTTATTGTCGAAATCCGGATATGGTGTACAAATTTTTGCACCTCATGTTTGCGGTATACCATCTTTTCCGCAAGTTTATTGTTTTCTGTTTGGTAATAAATTAATAATAAGATCTATATTGTTACATCTTGTGATCCGTTTATTTGGCAATCGCCAATGGCAGTCAGCAGAGTTTAAGAACATCAGTTGTTCGACCTGCTAGTCAAATGCGTTTTGTTAAAATATACCTTTTCACTCATTTGGTCTTTTGGAAAATGTTGTTTGTGCTGTATTTAGACCCCTCTACCAAGACATTTGTTTTGCATGCACACGTATAAAAATTGGGGTTTTTATCCAACGCAATCATAGGTTTGAACGTTGTTTTCAATTTAGACTTGTATATATATATATAAGTACGTCTAAACAAGTGACAACTCTACGACAGATCCATCAATTGGATAACCAGTGAAGGTGATACACGGCTGAAAACACAATTATTTCTGTGACTGCATCTTACGATCCTTTACGATAGATATTTAGCTAATCTGCAATCAATTCCATCTTCATGCCTAATATATCATGTACTGTGTTACAACTCTAGATTCTACTGACGAGGAAAGGTAACACTAGGCCACCGAAAGCTGAATTAGTGTTCAGTCTAGGTGGCCGAGTGGTAGAGAGCGATGGACACAGTATAAAGATAAAAACTAGAGGCTCTATAGAGCCTGTGTCGCTCACCTTGGTGTATGTGCATATTAAACAAAGGACACAGATGAATTCATGACAAAATTGTGTTTTGGAGATGGTGATGTGTTTGTAGATCTTACTTTACTGAACATTCTTGCTGCTTACAATTATCTCTATCTATAATGAACTTAGCCCAGTAGTTACAGTGGAAAATATTTTGTAAAAATTTACAAAAATTTACAAAATTTATGAAAATTGTAAAAAATTGACTATAAAGGGCAATAACTCCTTAAGGGGTCAATTGACAATTTTGATCATTTGACTTATTTGTAGATCTTACTTTGCTGTACATTGTTGCTGTTTACAGTTTATCTCTATCTTTAATAATATTCAAGATAATAACCAAAAGCTGCAAAATTTTCTTAAAATTACCAAATCAGGGGCAGCAACCCAACAACGTGTTGCCTGATTGGTCTGAATATTTCAGGGCAGATAGATCTTGACCTAATGAACAATTTTATCCTCATCAGATTTGCTCTAAATGCTTTGGTTTCAGAGATATGAGCCAAAAACTGCATTTTACCCTATGTACTATTTTTTTAGCCATGTCGGCCATCTTGGTTCACGGGCGGGGTCATCGGACACATTTTTTAAACTAGATACCCTAATGATGATTGTGGACAAGTTTGGTTAAATTTGTCATAGTAGTTTCAGAGGAGAAGATTTTTGTAAAAGATTACAAAAATTTACGAAAAATGGTTAAAAATTGACTATAAAGGGCAATAACTCCTTAAGGGGTCAACTGACCATTTTGGTCAAGTTGACTTATTTGTAGATCTTACTTTGCTGAACATTATCACTGTTGACAGTTTATCTCTATCTATAATAATATTCAAGATAATAACCAAAAACGGCAAAATTTCCTTAAAATTACCAATTCAGGGGCAGCAACCCAACAACGGGATGTCAGATTCATCTGAAAATTTCAGGGCAGATAGATCTTGACCTGATAAACTATTTAACCCCCATGTCAGATTTGCTCTAAATGCTTTGGTTTCAGAGATATAAGCCAAAATCTACATTTTACCCCTATGTTCTATTTTTAGCCATGGCGGCCATCTTGGTTGGTTGGCCGGGTCACCGGACACATTTTTTAAACTAGATACCCTAATAATAATTGTGGCCAAGTTTGGTCAAATTTGGCCCAGTAGTTTCAGAGGAGAAGATTTTTGTAAAAGTTTACGGACGCAGGACGACAGACGACGGACGCCAAGTGATGAGAAACGCTCACTTGGCCCTTTGGGCCAGGTGAGCTAAAAAAGAGCGATGGACACAGTGCAGGCGGTGTTGTATCGATATTCCAATAGCACGAGTTCGAATCCCGGCGAGGGAAGAACAAAACTTTCCTTCCGCAAATTTGCAGATTTAACATTGTTGTGCTTATATATATAAATAACAATAGTTTTTCCTTGCATTCAAATACACATGCGCGCACGTAAAACTGGTTTAATCCCACAATATGGTGAAATTAACAAGTCACGCATTCGTTTCACAAAAAGTCTTACGACAAAAATTACTCGTAAGTCATGAACAATGCAGTATACTTGTAATTATAGTCGTTAGATTTTTTATGAAACACAGACCTAATTATCTGGACTATGGGTTGGTCGTTGTTGTTAGCCTTTGTTTGTTTATATATTTTTTGGAAGAGTATACTGTTTGTGGTTGGTGTTATATGTTGTACTATCAAATATTTTTGGTAATACCTTTAATAATTTTAAAAAAATGATGATGTAGTATAATTGCTAATGAGTCAACTCTCCACCAGAGACCAAATGACATAGAAGTTAACAACTATAGGTCACCGTACGGCCTTCAACAATGAGCAAAACCCATACCGCATAGTCAGCTATAAAAGGTTCCGAAATGACAAATGTAAAACAATTCAAACGAGATAAATAACAGCTTGAATTATGTACAAAACCAAGAACGAAAAACATATATGATATACAGCAACAAACGACTGTCTGTATAACTGCATAAACTTCTTTCCGATAAAAGATATCTGTAATTTAAATTTTCGATTGCCATTTTCGTTTTGCAGTGCAAGAAAGACTTAGCAAACAGAAACGAAAAAAAAAATCATATTTCAACCGTTTCAGTGACAGAAAAAAAGCGCACATACATTCAAAACAATATGTTTACAAGAAATTATTACATACAATTTTTCAAAAGACAGAAAAATCTCATAAGAGCAAACTTAACGTTTGAAATATAGTTATGGTTTTTATAACTTCATAAAGACCTTCAGCAACTACCATATTATATGTTTTTGGTGACCCAAAAAAAAATCGAATCAAGGAAAAATGTTATCGCGAATGAACATTTAGGATCGTTCAAAGACAGCGGACTTGTTACAACGGTCAAAATACCGTTTTTTTCTTTTGCATTGTCGAGTTTGTCTCATTCGACATCTGAAAATATATTAGCTACATTGCATCCACCAACGCAAATCACGCTGCTAAAACAGTGTTATGACACTTTAAATGTACATGTAAACGTTCCTTTTCATTAAATTTAGTTAAGTTTGCTCCAAAAGTCATATTTTGGATGAGTGGAAAGTTATTAGGCTAGACAATTGTGTGTGTTATGTTCATCGCAGAGTGTGTTGTGTTCATCGCAGAGTATGTTGTGTTCATCGCAGTGTGTGTTATGTTCATCGCAGAGTGTGTTGTGTTCATCGCAGAGTGTGTTGTGTTCATCGCAGAGTTTAAAGGTAACATCTCAGAACGTATACAAAATGAAATGTTTACCATGTTTGTGTATTAGATGGAGATTATACGACTAAAAGTCTATATCGACCTAATTTCTTTTCGGATTTTAAATGCAAATTAATTTTCTTTCTACACCATTATCAATATGCAAATATTGATTAGATATTTGTTGTTCTATTTTGATGTATAAACAATTGCTAGTTTCCGTTCTAGATTTGATAGTGCGGCGTTTCAGATCTCGGCTCTACTATAAATGTCATTTCATGCTTCATCTTTATCTTGGACTAATTATTTCCTAATATAGAACAAATAATGAAAACGATATTCACATTCATGATTTTAATTACCGATAACAATCAACAAATCAACAAGATTTCATGACAATCTTTATCTATATTGATTCAAATAAAGCCAATTTCCTTTTTACTTGGACCACAACCAAGTATAAGATACACAAGCTAGAACGTTTGTTCTTTAAGTGGTATAGTAAACACAACTATTACAATATAGCACAATGTACACATTTGTTCAGCCGCTTGGTTGAAGAAAGAACTAATTATGTAAACAAAAACAAAATAAGAAGCAATATTTTGTTTCGTAAATGGATTTTCAGGATTGAAAGCGCAATATATTACAAAAAGCATCTTAACTGGTATTTAAAAATCAGAGAAATATCCTGTTCGGTTTAAACATTCCATTTTGTGAAAATACAGAGAGAGAAAAAAACAATTAGTTGTTCACATCAAGAACTTTTAAGGCAAAGAAAAAGTACTTCTCAAGTTGAAACGTTAATAGATAAAAAAAAACATGTAGCAATGCCCTTCGTTAAAACATTTGTTGCCCTTCACATGTAACGTAAATGTTTACCAAACAAGAAGATTCAAAACTGACAGATAATCTCTTTAAAACTGAAGGATGGCGTGAAAGGTTCTCGTCATTAAAATTTAAATATTATCATTGTATATGGTCCACAGGGTGGATTAGGAACTATAGCTCTATGGGGGAAATTCATGAAAGTTGGAATTTTGTTGTTGCTATTTTTCAATTGAACTTTGCTCTTTGGTAGTGATACGAACGTTCTCATGTTCTATGGAATTTTAATTGGGTTTATTAAAAATTTCGTCGCTCTTTAAAATCATTACCTATTTAAGAGTATTTTATGTATAAAAAGATTATGTAATTACAAATGTTCGAATCCTAATAGTATTAAAAGATCAATAGACCTTTATAAAAGTCATCTTAAAAGAGGAGGAATGTACTCATATATTGTGCATTTATATCAATTTAGTGACAATCATAGTTCTCAAACAAAGACTGCAGATTCTACAAACAACGACATTTCGCTTGATTAAATGCTAAGACTCTCTTGAGAACAAAATCTATTGAAAAATAATGTAAAATACCATTTAAAGTAAATGTATTTTTATCTTATGTAATATTTTAATGTCATATAATATAAAACATATAATCCTGTGTAACCAAGATAACTTTTATTGCCTTATTGTAAACTTGTAAAATACGCATAATATTGTTTGGGACATTAAAGATTTATAGAAATGCATTTTGTTTAAAAGGGACTATAAACTCATAATTGTACCGTTTAGTTTAACTATTTACAAACAAATAAAGCAGAAAAAATAAAAGGCAAACAAATTTAACAATTAAAAAAAACTAAATAAATGGACGGACTACTGTGTAACCAAAATGAAAAGATGTACCGTAACATACACAAGAATTTGTTAAATCCATCTTTCCGTGCATTGAATATTTCAACATCCCAGTTATTTCAATCACAGTAAAAATCTTGGCAAGATGTAGAATTTTTTAGTTCTGTTTGTGAATGAACATCCTGTGATCATGAATCCACTCTCTCTTTTTATTTCTATATCAATTAAGGTTTGGATCGGTCAAATATTTCCTTCACTGATAATTCCCTGTCTCTATCTAAAGGTTCACGAGTTCGCACATATCTGGCGTTTCTTGCCTGTTCCCACTGTTTATCCGAGTTCAGTTGCTGTTTTGAATTTTCAAATTCATAGGAATCATAACTGTAAATCTGGCCATTGAAATCGTCTTGTGCTGAAGATTTTGTTTTTCTGGTGCTTGCATCGCTTACTTTCGAATTTTCAGAATTATTGATTGACTTTTGAGAACTGTTTTGTTCCTTTTCTAACATAGCTCCAGTTTCAGGAGCACTCATGGTTGATAAAGGCGAAGATTTTAAAAGTCTTTGATCTCGATTCGAATTAGAATTTAAATCTAGTTTGCTATCGGTCGATCCTCTCGATAGACTATTTACATCTCGTATGGTAGGTATATTAAGCTGTTTATTATTAAAGCTACCTGATCGTTCTGCTTGGTTAACAGATCTTTGCGACATCTCAGGGTCAGAGTTCATTTTTTGATTGACAAGCTGCGTACCTTTAACTACTTTATCTGTTATTATATTGTCTAAATCAATGACGTCTGCTTCTCGTAGTTTCTGTAAATATTCTACTAGCATACCAGTATCAATTTCAACCTTTTCAATGTCGCTCGGTGGCCGAGGAGACCTCTTTGGGGATTTTTTGGAGGATTTTTCTTGTTTATTTCGCAAATTTTTTTCAGCTAATGTACGAGTACTTGCTGGATTGAATGATTTGTGACTGGAAATAATTGCACTTTTCGGTGGTCTGTGAACTCCTGCACGTATTCTTTCCAGGTCCTTTTCTACAAGCCTTTGCTGGGTGCTGATTCCATTGAGCTTGATTTTGAATTCATTGTATCTGCCATCAGAAGTCTGATCAAATCTTCTTTGCTCTCGTCTATTTCTCTCTCTTACTGATTCATGAGACTTGTAACTTTTCATGCTTAAATCCGCCATTGTCAGAACTGAATTATCTAATGTCCTTGTTCACTGTCTTTGACAATATTTTCAAATTCCTGGCATTTCTTAAATTATATGTGTCGTTGGTATCACACTGAAATATAGAAATTAGAATTAAAATTTTCAGAAAATTCAAATTGACTATTGTCTTATAATTATTGCATTTGTAACGAATACCATCCCATTGAGAGTACCTATTGTATATATCATTACATTAAAAGGTTTGTCGCTGAAATGAAACAGTTTGACGTCTGTTCGTGTAACAAAATGCCTTGAAAAGAATCCATCTGACTTTTCTCAAGCAAAATCAATATGAATATGAATTTACTACGGAAATGTGGTTCAATCGTTGGACAATTATCTGTTCGTATTACGCCAGATTTTTATTGTAACATCAAAGATTAAAGTGTTTTACTTTTCACATTTCCATTTTCGACCTACATGATTTAGACAGATATTACAAAAATCAATCATAGATTCCACTGCATTGGCCATTACATGCACAGAACTTTGAAGACATGTACAATTCGCTTGTCACAAAACATTATTGTCCACACCATTTTATTGTTTTATGAAAGGAAAGCAGATATGATATTACACAATCAATAAAGTACAGTCAAACCTGTGAATAAAGATGAATCGTGGGACCAGAAAAAACTTACTTTGCATGAGAGGTGGTGTTTGAATTCAGGTTAAGAAAATTGCATAGGTAATACTTCAGCAGGACAAGAAGAGGATAGCAAAACAAGACAGGCTTAAGCTTTATACATGTGACCTTTATAGCAGGTTTGACTATAGTGTTATTGAGTCCTGAAGGATTTTTTCTTTTATGTCAAAGTGCCTTTGTTCCTTTTCAAATGTATGTAGATTTTCCAAAAGTTTGGTTAGTGGAGAAGGAACTCCACCATAACCCCTTCCATAATTCAGTGCACCTTCCTCCCACGCGTCACGCGGTTTTGGTTAGGGGCTTAATTTTTTGTACAACATTAAAATAAGGAGATGTGGTATGATTGCCAATGAGACAACTATCCAGCAAAGTTAAAATGAAGTAGATGTAAGCAATTATAGGCAACCGTACGGCCTTCAACAATGAGAAAAACCCATACCGTATAGTCGGCTATAAAAGGCCCCGATATGAAAAATATGAAACAAGTCAATTGAGAAAACTAACGTCCTAATTTATAACAAAACAATTTACGAAAAACAAATATAACAGACATAAACCAACGACAACCACTGAACTACAGGCTCCTGACTTGGGACAGGCACATAAAGAATGCCGCGGGGCTAAACATGTTTGTGAGCGCTCCTCTAGCCTTGGACAGTGGTGTAACAGTACAACATAAGAACAAACTATAAAAATCAGTAGATAAAAAGCTTAACTCATCAGATCGATACAAAGAAAAACATCAAACAAAAACACAGACAGGACGTGGCAGGGTATATATCTATCCCTCACCCCTAACAACAAAAAAGACACTAAGTACAGATCTGAGAGTACTCGCAGTTACTGACAGCTAGTTCAAAGCCAATAACAAGTAATTAAAAAAATCATGTATCTAAGACTAAAATATCAATCAGTACACATCCAACATCCAATGGATTTAGTGTTAAGACGTCATTAACAGTCACTGAAAAACATGACCTTGTGCAATGCCAAAATGTAGGTATCGACAGATTGTACTACCGTGAAAGCACATATGCGTAATATTTAGTATGGTTTTAATTTACTGATAACAAAATCAATATTTATACCAATAAACACAATATTCAAAGTTTTAATTACAGTGTTGAATAGGTAACCTTTTATAATAATTTTATTTAAAGGATTGATAAGTTTTCCCTGTTCGTATCTAAATTTCTGGGCTCGGTTTACAACATCACCGTTAAATTTAGGATGTGCTATTCCGTTTGAAATAAGTTTTCTACAGGTACATGTACAGCCAAACTTGCAAACCAAATCTTTGTATCTATGGAATAATTTAATAAAGGTTTTAAGTAATTTGTGGTAACGAAATCCCTGACTTAAAGAATTTACTAGTAATACATAGATTACGCTCATTGAAATCCAAAACTTCACTACAGACACGAGCATAGCGAACAAGTTTGGGATATATAAACACCATAAGACGGCACCAAAGGAATATCACCGTCCAAAACAGGAAAATTAACAATAGGGAAAGAAAAATCTTCCTATTGTCGTAGAGTTTCTGTTGTAGTACTGAAATATCTTATTCTTGGAAAGGACAGTTATTGCTGTTAATATTTAATTTATGTATGGTTAAAACTCAGCAGTATATTTAGAGAATTCGTGATTATTTAACGAAAAAATATCATCAAGATAACGGTAAGTGTTGTTGGATTTATCAATTAAATGGAATTTAGACGGTTCTTTACTGAGTTTTGCCATAAACTGTGATTCATAACAGTATAGGAGCAAGTCTGCTATTAAAGGGGCACAATTTGTGCCCATAGGAATACCTACAACCTGTCAATTTTTAGTGAGCTATGAAATAAAACTGATCAAAGATATTAATAACATACTAATATTATTGTTCGCCAGACGCGCGTTTCGTCTACAAAAGACTCATCAGTGGCGCTCGACCAAATCTATTAAAAGGCCAAATAAAGTACGAAGTTGTAGAGCATTAATTCGAGGACCTAAAATTCTGAAAGGTTTTGTCGAATACAGCCAAGGTAGATATTCCTGCAGAAAAAAATCCTTAGTTCGAAATAGAACAAATCCAAGTTTTGAAAACAGTTAATTTATTAATTTTTTACTGTCATTGGATGTTGGATAGGGGAAGCTATTTTGTCATGTTACGTCTACGAGGACCTCTAAATATTTGTGTACAGTTCTTTAAAGTGGAGAGAAAGTAACACTCTCCGTCCTACATGAGGCTTTGAAATTAATGTCCACCTTCCGCTCGGACGTAGTTGTGTATTCATACACCCAGTTTCTCTGGCACTGGGGAAATTTAAATTACCAAGTTTCTATATAAACATGCATCATTCCACCCTTTGGGTGAAATTGTTTTCATTCGAATCACACGAGGAAACCAACAGATGCATGTCACTGTTAGTGTTATGTTAATAAAAACAACATACTATGTGACCGAAAGAAGTTTAACAAATATTTTTAGTAGGAAGAAACGCATAACTTTGTGAAATAGTGTCAGAAAAACAAACATATAAACACACAACCTAATCTCTACTTGAACAGTTATATACATTATAATGTCAAGAGATTACAGAAAAGGTTATTTCAAAATGTCTGATTAACGTTATATCAGGTTATTCGTCGTTGTTTTCACCTGTATTCACTAATATAATAATAAGGTGCAGGAGGGTATCGTCCGATGATCTGTATACGTTTTTCGAAATTATTTCAAAAGTTCCAACAATTCGGGACAAACTTCATTCATGCAAACGGGCGGACATTTATTTGTGAAATCCAACCATTAAAAATCACTCTCAGACATGATGACAGAACAATTTAATTTATTATTCATATCTAACCTTTGAATCATATCAACTATAGCAATTATTAGTACCATGTTTAAGACATTTCAATGTATTTTAAATAATAAATGCACTTAATTGCAGTTTCGAATTTCTTTTATTTTAAAATTATTTTCTAATTGACAAAGTTCTATCTAAATATAGTTTTTAGTTGTCTAGTGTTTATATTGTGCAGGACTTGTCTGTCATAATCATATCAATGATGATAATGCCAGAAGGCATTTTTCCTGTCTAAGCCCAAGGGCATTCCTGTTAATGTACGCACATAAAATTTTCGAGTTACATCCATTCTTTTAATTAAACGAAACAGTGATTCAGCAGTTGCGTCGTCAAAATATTTGCATAATTTGCTGTCTGTCGTCAAAATATTTGCATAATTTGCTGTCTGTCTTAATATACTTATCGTCAAATGATGCATGTTATGAACGATTTCTACCACTTAATTCTTATTGTTTAACCTTTTTGCAGACACAATGCTTTGTCTTAAACGATTCTTATAGTTTTTCAATAAAGATATTAAGGTTACAACTCCTTCAAGCAAAGCTGACCTGAGATGAATTTTGCAATTCTTTTTAGATCCCTTTTTGTCATATAGCTCATAACGTTACTACGTATACGTCCCAGCGACTCTTTTCACAAAAAATCTTACGATTAAAATTGATCGTAAGTTATACTGAAATGTGTATGACTTACGAGTATTTTAACTCTTAAGATTTTTTGTGAAAAGAGCCGCTGGCTTTCGAATGGTCCGTGGGTTAATGTGTTCCTGATGAAGAAATATCCAGAAAAGCGCGTCAGACGCACGAAATTGAAAAAGTGTTATTCTAATTTCTATCACTGAATCGATACCACTGCTTGTTAGTCCCCGGTGGTATCATCAGCTGTTAGTCCCCGGTGGAATCAACAGCTTGTTAGTCCCCGGTGGTATCATCAGCTTGTTAGTCCCCGGTGGTATCATCAGCTTGTTAGTCCCCGGTGGTATCATCAGCTTGTTAGTCCCCGGTGGTATCATCAGCTTGTTAGTCCCCGGTGGTATCATCAGCTTGTTAGTCCCCGGTGGTATCATCAGTTTGTTACTCCCCGGTGGTATCATCAGCTTGTTAGTCCCCGGTGATATCATCAGCTTGTTAGTCCCCGGTGGTATCATCAGCTTGTTAGTCCCCGGTGGTATCATCAGCTTGTTAGTCCCCGGTGGTATCATCAGCTTGTTAGTCCCCGCTGGTATCATCAGCTTGGTAGTTTGTGTTTTGGTACTGACATGATTTATAAATTATTTATTCTAAGATTTCCAGTTGATGAATTAGTAAATTATTGAGATACGAAGTATTAAAGTTCAGACTCCCAAGTTGACCTTAGATGAATTCGGCTATTCTTTTTATGTCCTTTTTTGTCATATATTTTTACTACGTATTTATATATCACTGGCTGTCAAATGTTAAGGTTAGAGCGGACAAGATTATGGTCAATCCAGATAATCACTTCAGTGTTATTTTAATTTAGCTTTTTTATGCCCCACCTACGATAGTAGTAGGGGAATTATGTTTTATGGTCTGTGCGTCCGTTCGTTCGTTC